GGGCCTACCCCGCTTGAATGATTAGCATGCTAACGTTCGTTCTATAACCGTGACGTTGATAAAAAATAATTTTTATCGTGGATGATCGGTTTTTCTGTAGGAGTGAAGTACTAAAATAATTTTTATCGTGGATGATCGGTTTTTCTGTAGGAGTGAAGTACTAAAATATAATCATTTCTGGGGGATACGGCCATTCATACATTCATATCACAAGTTAATTATACTGCATCCCAGCGCCTGACTATCTGAGCAAAACTTTAATAAAGCTGTTCGCGATAAAGTTATTCTGAACTATCTGATTCGATGAAGTCATGAATGACAGCTAATAAGTACTTGAAGCAATAGCTTTTTCATATATTAAGGAAAAAATTAATTTCTTGGCAAACATTATCAATAAAAAAGTGACGAGACCTTTTTATTATTAAGTATTATACTTTACATGCCACGTAATCCCGACAAAATCATTATTTAGAAAGTTAATGAACAAGAGTGTTCCTTCTGATCATCTAAAAGAAACATAGTTGAACCTTAACATCAATAAAAAACTTTCAATGATGATTTTGAAGTGTTATATATAAACTGTCCCGAATTCTTTACTAATAGCCTGACCAGTTTGATTTATCGAGATTTGACTGTACTCTCAAATTTTTTTATAATTTATCTTACAATTTTCTATATATGTCAGAAAAACTATGGAAGAACAAATAAATGAGGTATTTACTAACTTCATAGTTTATTTGGCTCAGTGGAAATTTCCACGAAATATAATATGGTTTTTAAAATAGCTCGTGAGTTTCCTTCGTGTCCCTAATCCCGAAGTTGGTATATCTGTATATTTTTTCTTGTTTTAGGCTATATATAACCGTATATTAACGATAAATTATTTAATCATTTTATAAAAAAGGTGCGTCGAGGTGCGTTAAGTCATTTACTCGGGTACACTGCCAAAACATCACAATATCAGTATATATTTAAGCTAAATAACAGGCAGCCCATTAAAGATTTGAAACTTTTGTGTATGGATAATCCTGTATGTTATGCACATATTTTAAAGTTCTTAATTTTTTTCATTTGATTTTATTTTTTATTTTTGATATTGATCTTTATAAAAGTTAATAGCGCATGATGCTTTTTCAGCCTTGATTAATTTGTCAGAGGACACCGAAATATGCAAAGAACTGGACGACGATAATTTCTTAAAGTACTTGATGGGCACTGTACTTGTATTGTATTGATTTCTTATTCTATTTTCCACTTTTTAACTTTTCGAATGATTAATTTGCGTGAACTTTTTTCCTACAATTTTGATCTATATTCTTTCTCGTTCTGAAACTCGAAACTATAAAAATAGAATTCTGAAGCAATACTCGCGGATTTAGCATGTATGCTACTATCAAATATTACAAAGGATGAAAAAATTGCCATAAAGGTATTAAATGGTACTATCCCTGAAGCAACTACCACAACAAACACAGCAATCACCACTTTAGTATCCTCCACGCGTGCAATGGATCAATTGGTTGATGTGTTTGTAAAAGGTGTAAATAAAGAATACAACAAACATGCCGAATACCATTTTTTAGCGAGTGTATTTGCTAATGTTGCTATCGTGGGTATTTATTGTATTCTAATTTTTATATATATCTTTTTTTATCCGAAATTAATTGTATTTATTATTTTCTTAGTTACCACAAGGTCGAGATTTTTTCTTGACTGATGCGCCGCAATATAATTCGCCGCCACTTACAAGTCTTATTATTTTTATTGAACATTCTAATATAATTCGAAGAGGTGGTGTTATGTCATGTATGAAGTAAGTAAATCTTTTCAATAGAAAAAGAGAAAAGCGATTATTGATATAATTTCTAAATTGATATTTACCTTAATAGAAATTGTTGTTTCAACGTGTCCCAACAGCTTGATTTGCTATCCGAGTCAAAAATTAATATTTTACCATATATATTACTCCCACTTTGTGGTCCTGAAGAATTTGATCCAGATGTATGTAATATCATTTATTCTTTATATCGGAAAGAATTTATGTAGGAAAAAAAAAACAATAATAACATGTCAATGTTGACTAAAGGATATGGAGGGCATGCCAGAAGACATACAGTTCCTGCCACCAGATAAGGTATATATATAATGAATAGCCATATTCAACTATATTGTTACACGTTAGTAATGCATGAACAATTAATATAACAATAAGAAACGTGAAACAGACCCATACCTCCGTCAAACACTTTTAGAAACGATATTACTTTTAACCACCACACGACAAGCACGCGAAATACTTCGTGCCAAAAAAGTTTACCCCGTTATACGACAGATGCATCTTGTGGAAGAAGATGAGAATGTTAATCATGTCGCTGAGAATATTGTGAATATGTTGATGCGTGATGAGGCTGAAGAGGAAAAACCAGGGTTATCGTTGCAAAAGGAAATTGTTGGCGCTGATAAAGGAAACAGAGATATTGAAGATGAGGAGGATGACGAAGATCTTCAAATTGTGGAAATCATATGAATCTTCCTCTTTTTGTGATTATTAGAATATTAAGATAATTTTAGGAAAGGATATATCTATCGAAGGAAAATCTAAAAAACTTTTTTTTTGTATTAAGCGAGAGTATTCAACATACATAAGTTCGAAAATTATTTTATTTACAAACATAATATCCCCATATGTCCTCCTCTCCTATTAGCACTAGCAACACTTTATGATATACTAATGAAAAAGGAGTTATCAATTGAGATTTTTTAACGAAACTCCAATTGTTAATAATATGGTGATTGATTGATATGTCCTCACTCAATATTTTTGTCAGTTTGTTTCAAATATCTTACAAATATTAAAAACTTCATATTATATATGCTAAGTTGATTAATATATCAAATAAAGCATAATACAGTAATTATAAATGTATTTTAGAAATCTAGATAATATGATGTTGCAATTATATTTGTGTTTATTTAATAAAAGATTTATATATATTATCTTAATCTTTCTGATCTTAATAAAATTCAAAGTATTATAATAAGAGTTTTTCAAAATTATAATAATATAAAATTACTTTTTGTTTTTTTTATTTTTAAATTCAGATTTACTAATATAAATATAAAAATTATTAAAATAATTATAATTATAAATAAATATTAGTAATTAATTTTTCATTAATTTTTTCTAGCTTTCTTGATAAATAATTATTAATATGATTTAAATAAAGTCAAAATACTATTTTTTTAATTAGTAAAAATTATATTTAAAGAGTAGTTAATAAAAATTAAGCAAATTAATTTTATAATAAATATTAATTATATAAATTATAAAATATATAATATTAATTATTATAAAAATTAAAATTTTATTAATTTTTTTAATTTTATTATTATATTTTAATTAAAATATATATTAATACTTTATTATTTAATATTAAATTATTTATTAAATTATTAAATTATTAAACTTATATTATATATTAATATATAACTATTAATATATAATAATTTATAATTTAAATGAGTTAATTTTATTAATAAAAATTAAAAATTTTTCTTTATATTAAATTTTATAATTTTATTAATAAAATTATAAAGTTTAATATAGAAAAAAAATTTAATTTTTATTAATAAATTTGAATTTCTAATATATTATTTTTAGTTATTATTATATTAAATATTTTTATTAATATATATTATTATTATTAAAATTAAATTAGTAATAATTAGTAAATATATTATTATATTAATATTAAATTTATATAAAGCTTCAAAAATAAAAATTTTGAAATAATATAATTTAAAAAAATTATTATAAATAATATTATTTTGTAAATTTTTTTAGATTATTATAAAGAATTATAAATAAAATTAAATAAATAAATATATATTATATATATAATTGATATATAATTAGATCTTTTTATAATTATATTTCTTTATATATAGTAAAATTCACTTTAATAAAGTTATTTATTTTATAAAATTTCTTTAGTAATCTGAAAGATTTATTATTTTAAAAGTAAGTGATATTTTACATAATTTTAATTAATATAAATATTTAATAAAAATTATTAATTTTATTATGATAATCAAATTTTATTTCAAGATTAAATATAATGATAAATAATTATTTATTTTCTTTTTTGCATAATATTTTCAAGAATACTTTTACATAATTTACTTAAAGTTTGTAATTCTATATTTAATTTTTCTTATTATAAATATAATAAAAAACTATTAATACTATTAATATTTATTAATAATATCTTTCTTATTTTCTTCTTCTTCTTCTTTTCTTTTTCTTTTTTATTCAAATATTTTTGAATAGTTATTCTAATTTCTTTATATAATATATGAATTTTATTCTTTATTATAATTAATAATATTATAAATATCTTTCTTCAAATTAATATATTTATAAATTATATTTATAAATTATTATAATAATAGTTATATTACTAAATTAATTACTTTAAATTCAAGATTTTCTTTAGCTTTATTAGTCATTAGCTATATTATTAATAGTAAAATTTCATCCTTTTATTATAATAATTATATTATTTTTATTTTACTAATTCTAAACTCCAGTTATAAAATTAATAATATTAAGAATTATTAATAAAGATAACTATTAAGATGATATAGATATTTTTGTAATAAATTTTATATGAGTATATAATATATTATATTCTTTAATTTAATTCTTATATAGTAATAATTTATAATATATCTATTATAAAGAGATTAAGAATGTGTATTAAATAAAAAAAAATAGGATTAAGAATAAAAAATTACTTATTTTAAGCTATATATAATATCTTGATTAAATAGTTATAAAACTGAAATTATATTTAAAGATAAGAAGTAATAATATTAGTTAAATTATTAATTATTCTTTAGATTTATATAATATTATATTATCAGCAAGTAGCAAATATAATAATTAATATATCTTATTATTAAATCTAAATAATTAAAATAATATCAAAAATTGATCATATTATTCAAATCTTAATGTTTTAATAATATCAAACTAAAAAACTTAACTTTAGAATTTTTTTTAGATATTGAGATATTTGACTTTAATAAATAAATAATAATAATAGCTTATGATTTTCAGTTATATTATATGTAATTATAATTAAAACTAAAGATAATATTATAATTTAGTTATAATTTTCTGATTGACTATTATAATTAATTATAATTTTCTGATTAACTATCACAAGTTATAATTAATTATGATAAAATCTTTAATTGAAATATAATTTTTAAATTATTTTATTTCAGAGATCAGTATATAAGCTAGAGTATGATTTAATTTGACTTTCCAAAAAAGAACTATTTTATTATAGTTATATATATTATTTAGTTTATACTGTAAAAGAATTTATTAAAATTCAATATACTATTATAAAAGTTATAATTTATCTATATTATTTAATTTATCTCTATATCAATAAATTTATAAATTATTTTATTATTAAAATTTAAAGAACTATTCATTTAAAACTAAAAAATTTCTAATTTTTTTTCTTATTTTATAAAATATTATTATTAAATATGATATTATCTTGAATTATCTATTTTATTTATAAAGATATAACTTCTTCAATTCAAAAAAAAACTCTTGCATTTTTATTTTAAATTTTTTTGAAATAAGTCATTCTTAAATACTAATTATCTATTTTTTATTTTTAAAATTTTACTAATAATAAATTTTTCAATATCATACTTATTTACTATCTTAATATTTTTTAAATATAAATTACTATTTTTTTTTCTAATATAACTTCTTTTTTTAGATAAACATAAGTATTATTTTAATATAAATATTTTTTTATCTTATTATCTATATTTAGTCTTATTTATTTATTTATTTATTTAATTATATATATTATACTTAATTAATAGTTTTATTAAATTAATAATTTCTTAATTAGTTATTATTAGCTTTTCTTTTTTTAATTATAATTTCTTTAATATTTTACTAATTTCAATTCTTAATTATTTTACATTTAATTTAGAAATATTTTTTATAATAATTTTTTTTAAAATTTTACTTATTTTTAAATAAATTAGATAAAATATTATGTTAAAAATAATTTATAATTAGTATAACAAGAAAATATTATATATAAAAAGTCAAAAAGTAATTAAGAAGAATAATTAAATTTGGTAAAAGAAATTAATTACTAAGTTAAGAGTAGTTAATTAATATTTTTTTATAATAAATATATATATTTTATCTTATATCTTATTTTTATTTTCTTCTTGCTTTATTAAAAAAGTAATTTTATTTAAAATAAAACTCATATAAATTATCTTATTAAGAAAATAATTAATTATTTTAAGTTTTTTAAAGTTAAAAGTAAATAATTATCATAAATATAATTATTATTATCATTTTAAAATATTTATATATATATAAACTTAAAATAATAATAATATAATTATTAAGATAATTATGATAAAATATATAATTACAAGTAAGAATTATAAATAATTTTTTTATTTATATAAAAAAAGCGCTTTATTATACTTTAAGTATGAGTTTAATTCTAGAATTATAATACTATTTATAATAATATTTGATAAGCTATTCTTAAGAATATTTAAAGTGAAATTTTTGAGATATAAAATATTTTGAATATTGAATTAGTAGATATATTTAAAGATAAAATTTTTTATAATTAATAGAATTAGTATATAATAATAAGAATTATAAATAGATAAATATTAAAATTAATTATATACTTTATTTATTTTTATACATTAAATACTTTTATAATTAAAAAATTTAATTTTAGATAATATAAAAACTAATTTCAAATTTAATAATTAGTTTATTTATAAATTAATTAATATGAATTAGAAAAGTTAAAAACTCAATCTAAAAAATTATTATTTAATCTTTGTTAATAATTATAAATAACTTTAACTTATAAATAAGTATGATTAGTATATATTAAAGTAAGCTTAAAAAAAATATCTAATAGATTTGATTATTATAGATAGATTTATTATAAAATAATAGTACTTATATACTTATAAAAGATTTAGATAATTTATTTCCAAATATACTTTAATTCTAAGTAATCAAATACTTATTATAATATTTTTATATTTATTTTTAATTATAATAAAGCTATCTTTTAAAGTATATATATACTTATATTTATTTAGATTAAGTAATTATATTGTTACCGTTTTAAGATTATGCATATGTAATTATTTTAAAATGGTAATAGTGACTGTGTTCACAGTAATTATTTACTTTTATAGGTCCAAGAGGGTTATACGACTAACTATTTTCTGAATAAGGTAATATGTGTATAATTTATAACTGATGAATTATAATTATCTTCTCAATAAGATAATTTATACGTGTTTTACTTCTTAACAAAAATATGATTATCTTC